GGCGGCGTCCCACCCGCAGTGGTGGTGGTGGTGGTGGAACAATTAAGTTAAGGATGTAATTAAGTTAGGATAGCACAGCAAGATGGAACTGTATATAGTAGCGGAATAAGACAGAGGTTTGTTAACTGTAAGAACTATAGCTTATTATGTAAATAAACACTTGTAATTAATACTATGTGAATAAAAACCCTTGTTATTAAGTTGTATAAATACTACTCCCTTTTCTATGGTTATAGGAGTCTTTGGTGAACATCAAACATGAGCAGTTCCTACGATATAATCTGCGAAGAGCAACTCGATATATTTAGTCAACCATCGAGGATTATTTTAGCAGGGAATTCAAACAGTGAAAAGTCTTTCTTATGTACTAAACTCCTAAGGAAGTATCATTACAAGTTCTCCGCTATAATTTTATGCGGAGGGGGATGTACTGAATTAAGGAACGGACCACTCATTAAAAGGAAGTTGGTCGAGCATTCAACCATTATTGATCCTGTGGAAGAGAGGGATAGGGACTCTCATATCTTAGTAGTCTATGATGATCTTTTTACAGAGGCTGCTAATTCTAAAATTGTACCAGACATGTTTACTTGAGAGAGACATCTCAATGTCTCAATCATTTTAATCACTCAAAATATATTTTCCCCTGGCAAGTATTCGAGGAATATCAGTTTAAATACCTCCCATTTCTTATTAGTTAAATCAAGAGACCTCTTACAAATTGAAACGTTGGGACGGCAGATATTTGGGAAAGAGGATTCAAAGAAGCTGGTGAATTTATATAAGAAAGTTATTAGCAAACCCTACGGCTATTTGTTAGTAGATCTGGCCTCGAACACTCCCTCTACTATAACATTACGTGGCAATATTGTTCACGAACCAACCTATGAGGTAGTCTATCAATGGTGAGCAAGAAAGAAGTGCTGGAACAGGTGTATAATGACCCTTCATCCATTGGTGAGTTGGGAGGAGTTCGAAGGCTGTATTAGACTGCTTAAATTAAATAAACCTAGTATTACTCTTTCTGATGTAAAGGACTATTTGAAAACCTCCGACGCATATACATTACATTACTCCTTCCCCGCGCAAATTCATACGACGTCGTGTATTAAGTTCCAAACCACGCCTATTTCTGGCCATAGACCTCGCCGAGATGAGCTTGCTGTCCAGACATAATGGGGGTGGGGGGGGGGTGAAATATTTACTCGTGTGTGTGGACATATTTTCCAGACTCGCTCAAGTATTGCCATTATCAAGTAAGGATGGAAAAAGCCCTAGTAAAGCTTCAGCTACAATTTTGGAAGCACCTCTTTCGCAGGAAATACGCAAAATCGATTCCGATCGCGGTGGAGAATTTTATAATGCTCCAATGAAGAAAATGCTTTGTTCAAACAATGTTAAGTTATATAGCATATTTTCTTAGGAGACCACGGCCTCCATCGCTGAAAGGTTCATACGGACTTTAAAAGGCAAACTTTACAAGTATGACAGCCCACAATACTTTAAATTATATGCAAGCTTTATCAGAAATTGTGAAAAAGTATAATTCTTCTCCTCACAGAGAGATGAGGGGAAAGACACTTGTCGAGGTACATGCATTATATTCACCTGCGGAGTATGCTGACCAATTTAACTTAATGTGTAAAACCCTGAACAAAACAAAGAGAGCCGTCATTCCACGTCTAGTTCTTGGCAATACCGTACGTATTGCACTATCAGACCGCATTTCCAAGTTTAAGAAAGGGTTTAAGCAGCAGAACACACGAGAGATCTTTACGGTGGGCCGTATTGATAGGAGGCAAGCATCCCATTATACTTTCTGAAAGATTTGAATGGTGTGGAAATAGAGGGAGGGCCCTATAACGCAGAACTAACACCTACACAGCTTCCTCCAACTTTCGATATTGAAAAGGTCTTTCACAAACGCACTGTGAGAGGTAAAATTCAGTATAAAGCTAGCTACACCGGATATGATAGGACATACGATAAGTGGATTGATGTTGACGACATACTCCATTTATAATGAAGACATTCTTAGTTCATAAATACAAGGAGTTGATCCAGTTATTATCGAAGCTCCACTATTCCTTGCGAAAGCAGCTAATTGAAAAATTAAAGAAACCTCATATAAATTGCTTATCTGAAATTTTTAATAACTTACTAAAAAATAAATTACCCGTACCTGCTAAGACGGTTAAGAAGCTGAAAAAATACAAATTACTTATCCGGTCATTAGCCTGCAAAAAGTCCTCTGTAACGGCTAAGAAACGGATATTAACTAGTAAACGAGGTGGAAGTATTTTATCAATTATCCTGCCTATAGCCGCTAGTTTAATTACGCGGTTGTTCTCAAATTGAAAATGCGGGAGTATTATCTGGTACCTCGTAAAATAATGGGCCGTGTGACTGGAGAGCAGACCCCAGCTGCTCATCCCGCCCTCCCTTCACCCCTACCACAAACCTTTCCCACTCCTCCCCCTCCTCAGTTGCGCACTAATCCCATCATAAAACATTTAATTGATCTGAAATTTAAGGTAAAAGATTACGAGTATGCAAGATTGTTGTTACATTATTTTGATGAGAAAGGATCTAAATTCAATGGATCTAAATGGAAATTTAATGTCTCCTATCCGCGTTGTGCATACAATAAGTGATGTCATTCACAAAATGATAACAGAAAAAAACCCAATTCTCACCTGAGAAGTTACCGCTGGTTCAACTGTTTTTCACTATGACTTCTACACCGCGAGATTTATTCCGCAATGATGCGGCGGGGAAGCAAGTGTATGACCCGCCATTAATGAAGAGAGCAAAGCCAACGGTCAAGATTGAACCTGTAACTCGAAGGATTACTCCTATATATATATGTATGTATATATATATATATATATATATATATATATATATATATATATATATATATATATATATATATATATATATATATATATATATATATGTGTGTATATCACGAAAAAAACACGTGATTAAGAATGTGACAATGTCAGACCACGGAGGAAAAATTAAACAGGAAATTTCCTTAAGTACTTTCGTATATTAAATACATCTTCAGAAGGCCACCTTCTGAAGATGTATTTAATATACGAAAGTACTTAAGGAAATTTCCTGTTTAATTTTTCCTCCGTGGTCTGACATTGTCATATATATATATACATATATATATATATATATTTATTTATTTATATATATATATATATATATATATATATATATATATATATATTATTTATTTATATATATATATATATATATATATATATATTTATATATATATATATATATATATATATATATATATATATATATATATATATATATATATATATATATATATATATATATATATATATATATATATATATATATATATATATATATATATATATATTTATATACATTTTATATATATATATATATATATATATATATATATATATTTATATATGTGTGTGTGTGTGTGTGTGTGTGTGTGTGTGTGTGTGTGTGTGTGTGTGTGTGTGTGTGTGTGTGTGTGTGTGTGTGTGTGTGTGTGTGTGTGTGTGTGTGTGTGTGTGTGTGTGTGTGTGTGTGTGTGTGTGTGTGTGTGTGTGTGTGTGTGTATGTGTGTGTGTGTACTCACCTAATTGTGCCAAGTTATATTATACAGCGTTGCAAGCCTTAGGCTTTGATAAAGATAATGTACTGACTTATGACGCATATGTAGATGGTGGAACAATACTCGTCTTTAATTTACAACCAGAGGATATAGCACTATCCCGCTTGAAGAGAGTGGTAACCTACGGATCGCTTTGGAATTTAAACAAAGGGTGGATAGAAATAAAGTCATTCTAGTTAATGGAGCGACGACAGGCGTGATCAGCATTAACGCAGAGCGTCGAGTTATTTGCGAAACTAGAGGATAAATATGAATTGTTTGGAAATAAATGAAGCTATTAGGAGTAATTTAGGTGTGAAGGTAGATTATCTAGGTTGTTTCCAAGCTAATGATGTGCAGAATAGAACCAGTGAAGAGCAGAGGTGCCATGGGCACAATCAGAGAACACTGTATGAACATCAGAGGTCCGCGGTTGTTCAACGTCCTCCCAGCGAGCATCAGAAATATTACAGAAACAACCGTGGACATCTTCAAGAGGAAACTACATTGTTTCCTTCAAGGAGTGCCGGACCAACCGGGCTCTGCTGGAAATGAGGGCCTGTGGGCCGCTCCAAGCAACAGCCTGGTGGACCAAACTCTAACAAGTCCTGTCTGGCCTCGGGCCGGGCTTGGGGAGTAGAAGATCTCCCAGAACCCCATCAACCAGGTGGGGGGGGGGGGGTGAGGCTGGTGGTGGTGTCACGGTGGGCGGCGGGGAGATGGGTGAGGCTGGTGGTGTCACGGTGGGCGGCGGAGAGATGGGTGTGGCTGGTGGTGGCACGTGAAGCTGGTAGTGGCACGGTTAGTGGTAGGGAGATGGGTGAAGATGGGGGTGACACGGTGGTGGGGGGGGGGAGATGGGTGAAGCTGGTAGTGGCACAATGGGGGGCAGGGAGATGGGTGAGGCTGGTGGTGGTGGTGGTGGCACGGTAGGGGGCGGGGAGATGGGTGAAGCTGCTGGTGACACCGTGGGGGGGCGGGGAGATGGGTGAAGCTGGTAGTGGTGGCACGGTAGTGGAGGGGAGAAGGATGGGGCGGGTGGTGGCACGGTGGGCGGCAGGGAGATGGGTGAGGCTGGTGGTGGTGGCACGGTGGGCGGTGGAGAGATGGGTGGGGCTGGTGGTGGTGGCAAAGTTAGGGGGGAAGATGGGTGAGGCTGGTGGTGCCACGGTGGGCGGCGGGGAGATGGGTGAGGGTGGTAGTGGCACGGTGGGCGGCGAGGAGATGGGTGAGGGTGGTAGTGGCACGGTGGGCGGCGAGGAGATGGGTGGGGCTGGTGTTGGCATGGTGGGCGGCGGGGAAGAAGGGTGAGGCTGGTGGTGGTGGCACGGTGGGCGGCGGGGAGATGGATGAGGCTGGTTATGGTGGCACCGTGGGTGGCGGAGAGATGGGTGAGGCTGTTGGTGGCACGGTGGAAGTCGGGGAGATGGGTGAGGCTGGTGGTGGCACAGTGGGCGGCGGGGAGATGGGTGAGACTGTAGGTGGTGGCACGGTGGATGTTGGGGAGATGGATGAGGCTGGTGGTGGTGGCTCCGTGGGCGATGGGCAGATGGGTGAGGCTGGTGGTGGCACGGTGGGCGGTGGCGAGATGGGTGAGGCTGGTGGTGGCACAGTGGGCGGCGGGCAGATGGGTGAGGCTGGTGGTGGCTCAGTGGGCGGCGGGGAGATGGGTGACGCTGGTGGTGGCACGGTGGGGGGTGTGGGACCACACGTACTCGGACAACAAGCTCATTGAAGTGCAAACTAACATTAAAAACGGTAGTAGGCCCAAGAGAAACAACAAGCGAGAAGGGCTATTCAATAAATTCAACTTTAATAATAAGAGGTTAGACTGGGAGAAAATAAACAGGGAATTTACAAACATTCAATGGGAAAATGTTCTAAGATATAAAAATCCTACACAAGGAATAGAAAAACTGACTTCTAAAGCATATGAAATCTGTCTGAAACATGTTCCTTTGAGGAAAGCCAGAAAGAGGTCCAATGTTGAAAGAGAACGCAGACGACATTACAAAAGGAGGAAGAAATTAACGGAAATGCTTAAGCAGACACGACTCTCCATACAGAGAAGAAATAATTTAAACAGGGAGATTGAAGAAATCGAACAGAAACTGAAGCATCCCTATCAGACTGAAGAAAGGCAACTAGAACATAAAGCAATTCAAGAAATAAAGAAAAATCCAAAATATTTCTTCACATATTCTAAATCAAAAGCGAAAACCACTGCCAGTATTGGAGCTATTCGTATTAGTGAAGGTTCATACACTGAGGATGACAAAGAAATTAGTGAAATTCTAAAAAAGCAGTATGAGGACATGTTTAGCACTCCGATACTCAGCATGAAAGTGGAAGATTCGGACAATTTCTTTATGAATGATACTCAAACACCTGTAAATATAACTGATATCAACAGGAGCGTGGCAGATTTTGAAAGAGAAATTGACAATATGCCCATGCACTCAGCCCCTGGTCCAGACTCATGGCATTCAGTATTTATAAAGAAATGCAAAGTGCCAGTAGCACAGGCACTCAGTATAGTATGGAGGAAGAGCTTGGACACAGGGGAGATACCAGATGCGCTTAAAGCAGCAGACACTGCCCCTCTACACAAGGGTGGTAGCAAAGCATTGGCAAAGAATTATAGACCAGTTGCACTAACGTCCCACATAATAAAAGTATTTGAGAGAGTGATCAGGAGTCAGGTCACTAGATTCATGGAAACCAATGACATCCACAATCCAAGCCAATCTGTATTTAGAGCAGGAAGATCATGCCTCTCACAACTACTTGAGCACTATGACAAAATCACTGAGGCATTAGAGGAAAACATAATGCAGATGTCGTATACACAGATTTTGCAAAGGTATTCGACAAATTTGTGTGGTGTTTGTGTGTTACTGAGGAAGTCTTGGTTGTAGGGTTGATGTAAAGTCATGACTTGGTTACTGACTTTAATACTTAATATGATTACATGACTAGTAGCTACCAAGCTTGGCGGGCGTCCTGTACGCTCTTGTTTACCTTCTCTCTCTCTCTGGCGTCCCAGCCGCCGCACATAGAAAACGGATGGTACCATTTTCTGTGAACATGACATCCCTCCTTTTCTTTAAAAAGAATGAATACAGGATGTCTACCATGCTTGTAGCACAAAGCAAAGTTATTGACACAAAGTAAGTTATTACCATATCAAGAGATACTGCATACATTTAACATTAATTAAGCACACAAAGAATTTAAACAACTTAATCTTTTCCACAAAGGATTTCAATGTTAAAAATACATATGCAATGTTAAACAAACATGAAAGAAACTGTAATACAAAGTTACAAAATATTGAATGAGATATCTGCATTATTCAAACAATATTAAATTTAGTTCAGCATGACAAGTAAATATTTTGCATTACATAGGAACACAATTAATCATCAAATCGTGTAGGGCGTTTAACATGACGTTTAGGACGAGAGTCCTTAAATGCAATAACATCCCTTGATGAATTGTTTGTCGGGTTATAACTATTTTTTTCTTTTTCTTTTGCACGACTTTGCACTTCATCATTTTCTACACTAGTTGGAATCACTTTGAAATAAGCCATATTACGTGTTATACTATGATCTCTATTACTAGCTGTTACCATAGTTCCTTTTACACTAATCACTTTATATGGTTTTGTATCATACGGCATATCTAACTTTCCCTCTTTTTTCTTTTTAACGAGAACAGTGTCTCCAACCTTTATGAACTGTTCCTTTGCACGTTGATCATGAGCAATTTTCATTTTGCCCTTGGCTAGTGCATCCTTCTGAGCGAGACGTTTATCCGTTACCTCGGCTGGCATGACGGGTAGTGCGATTCTCATAGGACGTCCAAATAAAAGTTCGCCAGGCGACTTGCCCAGTGTTCCATGTGGTGTTGCACGGTAGTTCCTGAGAAAAGCATACATAGCTTGTTTCCAGGATCGTCCTTCGGCATGAGCACAGCGTACCGCTTTCATGAGAGGTTGCATGAATCTCTCAACTTCTCCATTTGCTTGGGGATGTAGTGGCATCACACGGCGGTGTTTGAATCCAATATGCTCAGCAAAGTTGACAAAGTCTTGTCCATTGAATGGCGGTCCATTGTCCGTCTTGACAACTTCAGGAATGCCAAAGTTTGAAAAGATCTTGTCAAGTTTCGGGATGACGGCCTTTGCAGATGTGGAATTGATGATTTCTACTTCTGGATAACGTGAGTGATCATCAATGACTACCATCAAGTACTCTCCAGTTGGTAGTGGTCCGCAGAAGTCCATCGATACTTCCGTCCATGGTGCAGCAGGTAGTGGTGAAGGTTGTAGAGGTGTTGGTCTTGAAGTATCCACTGCAGCTTGGCAAGGGACACAGGCATCATGCATATCCTTTGCTTGACGATCAATGCCAGGAAACCACACCTTTTCTCTTAGCAGCTGTTTCGTCCTAACAAGACCTTGGTGTCCTTGATGTGCAAGCTTCAGAGCACGTTGCTGGAGAACAGCTGGAATCACGATACGAGTACCTCGCAGCACAGTGTCGCGTTGTTGCGTAACACTTAATTCTGTCTGGATGCGTTCAAGTGCTTTGAATGCATCTTGGTCAACTCCTGAGGGTGGGATGCGTGGAAACTTTTTCTTAGTCAATGCATCCACTGTTGCTTGCAGAGTTGGGTCCTCTAGGGTTGCAGTACGGATTTCATCAAGAGTAAGAGCCTTAGGGACTGCATCACAGGTTACAGAGTGTACATATTCCTCGGCAACTTGCTGATGCTTGGTGATGGTGAAACTGTTGGCAGGATGTCGACTGATGTAATCAGCGGGATTGCCTGCACCCGGCTTGTATTTCACCGTAAAGTTGTATGGTTGCAGACGAAGAGCCCATCTCTCAATGCGAGCTGGTGGTTTGGACTTTGGATTATTGAAGATGGTCTCCAACGGTTTGTGGTCAGTGACTATCGTGGCGAAGGGCGCACCAAGCAGATACACATTGAAGTGTTCACAGCCCCATACAAGAGCAAGAGCTTCCTTCTCTGTCTGACTGTATCGTTGCTCAACATCTGTGAGAGAACGGCTGGCGTAGGCAATTACTACTCTGGAATCTGGTTGACCAGGTTTGTGTTGGGCTAAAACAGCACCTAAACCAACAGGACTAGCATCCACCGTTAACTCAGTGTCCATTGATGGATCAAAGTATGCAGCAGTCGCATTCTCTACTAGTGCATCTTTCACAGCATCAAATGCATTTTGCTCGATATCGCTCCAGTACCATGATGCATTTTTCTTCAGGAGCTCACGTAGAGGCTTTGTAATGGTAGCAAAATCTGGAATGAAGCGAGAACAGTAGTTTGCCATTCCCAGAAAACTATGTACTTCAGTGGACGTTGAAGGAGGTGCAGCATTCTTGATATCTGCAACTTTCTTAGGATCTGGAGACAGACCTTTGTCACTAAGTACATGTCCAAAGAATTCAATTTTATGTTGATTGAACTCACACTTTGCTCGGCTTAACGTCAGATTCTTTTCTCGTAAGCGTTGCAATGTTGCACGAAGAGCTTTGTCGTGTTCAGCTTGGGTACGGCCATAAACAATGATGTCATCAGACATGTTGTCAGCATTAGGTATGTCTTGCAATACCTGGCTGATGATGTGCTGGAATACCTCGGCAGCACTGTTAATACCAAAACTCAGGCGCTTGTACCTATACAGACCTCGATGTGTCGTAAACGTTGTGATGAAGCGACTCTCATCATCAAGTTCAAGCTGATGATAGCCCTTGTTTAAATCTAACTTGCTGAATACAGTTGCACCATTCAAGCGGTAGATCATATCATCTACAGTCGGTGTAGGATGGCGTTCACGCATTATTGCCTTGTTGGGAACACGCATGTCCACACAAATGCGTATCTCATCTGGATTCTTCGGCTTTGGTGGAGTGACAATTGGGCTTACCCATGGTGTTGGGCCTGTTACTGGTTCAATGATATCTAGTTCGATCAGCCTATCCAGTTCGGCATCGACTTTCTTGCGAGTATGGAATGGTTGTCGGCGATGTGGTTGGGCAACTGGAATTACATCTGGGTTGATATGCAGATGTACTTTGCTATCAGTATAACAACCTATGGATTTAAATCGATCAGAAATTCAGCAACAATACCATCAACATTGTTTGCAGATTCCACTGCTACAGCATTAGAAAGCTGAAGTAGCCCCAATTTGGTTGAAGTCGTGTAACTGAGTAAAGACTCCTTTGCATTCCTAACAACATGGAATGTAGTAATGAGCATTGCATTCTTTGACTTAATCTCTGCAGTTAAAGTTCCAATCACTGGCAAGGCTAACTTCGAAGCATAGGCAGTGGCTTTACCATTGTATTTTTCTAGCTTTGGGAACTGTTTTCTAAATTTTTCATAGTGGCACTCAGCCATGGTGTCAATGTTTGATCCAGTGTCAATAAGAACTTTGAGACAAATACCAGCAATATATACTATAGTCTCTGGGTTGTTTGGAAGATCATTCCATTCTGTGATTGATTGTACTCCATAAGTATAATCACATTCACTGTCATCTGAGACTGGTTGTAATGAAATGTTGTCTTGTACATTATTAACATTTTGGATATGAGGCTCAATATTGTGTATACCACCTCGACCCCTATGACCTGATCCTCGTACAGTGCTTTTATTCATTGACTGTGGTTTCTTTAGTGCGGAACGACACATAGCACCAAAATGACCTAGTTTTCCACACTCATAGCACTTCTTACCTTGAGCAGGACAAACATTATCTTGGTGTGGGTAGTCTCCTCCACAATTGTAACATTTATTGTTGACACCCTCTGATGTGGGTCGTCGTGACTGTTTGAGTCTTGTTCCTTGACTCCAGTTGTGATGTGGTTCTCGGCTCAATTTACTGTTAGGTTTGCCATGATATCTTCTTTGATCACGGTGTCCTCCCTGAACCTTACATACCTCATCACTGTTAGTAACAGTGGCAGAACCGTTATTGGCACTGCACTCCATGACACGAGCATCACGTGCAGCATCTTCCATTCGACGAGCCATATCCAGTATCTTGGTAAGAGAACTGTCATCATCAACAAGTTCTAGAGCTCTTCGACGAAGACGTGTAGATGTGCACGATTCAATTATTTGCTGTTTGATTTCTTTGTCAACATCAGCAAACTCACAATGGGCTGCTAAACCCTGCAGACGTGTGTGGTATTGATCCACAGTTTCATTAGAGAGTTGTTTTGCTCTCCTGAAATGCATAATTTCCATTGCAGTATTTTGCCTTGGTTTGAAATGCTCTGTTAGTTTGGCTTTGGCAGTGTCATAATCTTTGGCACCACCAGTGTCTTTCAGTGTGTCAAAGATGTCACAAACTCTATCACCTGCATAATGAAGTAGAAAGGCACGCTTTCTTTCAGCACTTTTGATGTCAGAAACTATCAACAAATTTTCAAACTTTTTAAGCCATTTGACCCACCTCTGTGACAGGTTTGTCTGGTCACAGTCAGGATCAAATGCAGGAAACTGAGGTATATTTGCCATTTTTACTGAATAAATGTAACTTATCACTTAAATGTTCCTCAGAATATTAAACACTTACTGCACTGAATATGTTAGTCAAGAATTCACTGTAATTACTTTAATTTTGCAAAGCACACAAGCATTTTAATGCAAAAGTTCACAACAGTGCACAATATAGCAGCAACTGACTTCTTACCTAGCCCTTGTGTACATGTGTTGTTCCTACTCACAGCAGCAGCACAGCAGTTGGCACAGCAGTTGGTACAGCAGCAGTTCAGTGTGATGAATTTTGTAGCACGAAGCGTCGTTTCGTAACCAAAACATCAGGTTTTGTACACATCAAAGCGTCGTTTCGTACACAACGTCGGCAGATTCCTCAGTACTGTTTCTTCAGCACAGCTTGGGTAGCACACAGCTTGGGTAACACACAGCATCGGTTAGCACACAGCATCGTTTAGCACACAGCATTGGTTAGCACACAGCATCGGTTAGCATACAGCATCGGGTATGGCGCTCACAGCTTCTCTTCCTCCTCCAGGCAGCATGCTTCTCCCTTGTGTTTGAAACTGAACAAATACCTGCGTTCACAGTTCATCCTCGTCGCCAATGTGGTGTTTGTGTGTTACTGAGGAAGTCTTGGTTGTAGGGTTGATGTAAAGTCATGACTTGGTTACTGACTTTAATACTTAATATGATTACATGACTAGTAGCTACCAAGCTTGGCGGGCGTCCTGTACTTGTTTACCTTCTCTCTCTCTCTGGCGTCCCAGCCGCCGCACATAGAAAACGGATGGTACCATTTTCTGTGAACATGACAATTAGGAAAACAGCATGTCAAGGATTTGGGAATAATGATGTCCGACGACCTAACGTTTAGGGAGCATAACCAAGCAAGTATTGCGTCAGCCAGAAAAATGATAGGATGAATCACGAGAACCTTCAAGTCCAGAGATCCCATCACAATGGTTGTAATCTTGTGTTGTCCCGTCTTGAGTACTGCTCAGTACTCACTTCCCCCCTCAGAGCAGGAGAGATTACTGAAATTGAGGGAATACAGAGAACATATACGGCACGCATAGACAGATAAAGCACCTAAATTGTTGGGATCGTCTCAAAGCTCTCCAAATATACTCACTAGAAAGGAGACGAGAGAGATACCAAATAATATACACATGGAAAATACTGGAGGGACAGGTCCCAAATCTGCACAGTAAAATAACAACGTACTGGAGTGATCGACATGGAAGAAAATGTAGAATAGAACCAGTGAAGAGCAGAGGTGCCATGGGCAAAATCAGAGAACACTGTATGAACATCAGAGGTCCGCGGTTGTTCAGCGTCTTACCAGTGAGCATCAGATATATTACAGGAACAACCGTGGACATCTTCATGAGGAAACTAGATTGTTTCCTTCAAGGAGTGCTGGACCAACCGGGCTGCGGTCGGTATGTGTGCCTGCGGTCGCTCCAAGCAACAGCCTGGTGGACCAAACTCTCTCAAGTCAAGTCTGGCCTCGGGCCGGGCTTGGGGAGTAGAAGACCTCCCAGAACCCCATCAACCAGGTATCAACCAGGTGGGGGGTGAGGCTGGTGGGGGGTGGCACGGTGGGCAGCGGGGAGATGGGTGAGGCTGGTAGTGGCACGGTGGGCGGCGGAGAGATGGATGAGGCTGGTGGTAGCACGTGAGGCTGTGGGGAGATGGGTAAAGCTGGTGGTGGCACGGTTGGGGAGGGGAGATGGGTGAGACTGATGGTGGTTGTGGCACGGTGGGGGGCGGGGAGTTGGGTGAGGTTGGTGGTGGCATGGTGGGGGGGAGGAGATGGGTGAGGCTGATGGTGGTTGTGGCACGGTGAAGGGCGGGGAGATGGGTGAGGCTGGTGGTGATGGTACGGTGGAGGGAGGAGATTAGTGAGGGTGTGGTGGTGGCACTATGCGAGGGGGAGATGGGTGAGGCTGGTGGTGGTGGTGGCACGGGGGGGAGATGGGAGAGGCTGATGGTGGTGACACGATGGGAGAGGGAGATGGGTGAGGCTGGTGGTGGTGGCACGGTAGGCTGCGGAGAGAAGGATGAGGCTGGTGGTCGCACGGTGAAGGGCGGGGAGATGGGTGAGGCTGGTGGTGGTGGCACTGTGGGCGGCAGGGAGATGGGTGAGGCTGGTGGTGATTGTACGGTGGGCGGCGGGGAGATGAGTGAGGCTGGTCGTGCACACCACCACACAGTGAGGAGATGGGTGTGGCTGGTGGTAGCACGGTGGGTGGCGATGAGATGGGTGAGGCTGGAGGTGGCACGGTGGAAGACGGAAAGATGGGTGAAGCTGCTTATGGTGGCACGGTGGGCGGCGGGAAAATGGGTGAGGCTGGTGGTGGTAGTGGCGAGGTGGGCGGCAGGGAGATGGGTGAGGCTGGTAGTGGCACGGTGGAAGACGGGGAGATGGGTGACGCTGGTGGTGGCACAGTGGGCGTCGGGGAGATGGGTGAGGCTGGTGGTGGCACAGTGGGCGGCGGGGAGATGGGCGACACTGGTGGTGGCACAGTGGGCAGCGGGGAGATGGGTCAGGCTTGTAGTGGCACGGTGGCCAGCGGGGAGATGGGTGAGACTGTAGGTGGTGGCACGGTGGAAGACGAAGAGATGGTAGAAGCTGGTGGTGGTGGCACGGTGGGCGGCGAAGAGATGGGTGAGGCTGGTGGTGGTGGCACGCTGGCCGGCGAAGAGATGGGTGAGGCTGGTGGTGGTGGTGGCTCCGTGGGCGACGGGCAGAGGGGTGAGGCTGGTGGTGGCATGGTGGGCGGTGGCGAGATGGGTGAGCCTGGTTGTGGTGGCACGGTGGGAGGCGGGAAGATGGATAAGGCTGGTGGTGGCACTGTTAGCGATGGGCAGATGGGTGAGGCTGGTGGTGGCACGGTTGATGGCAGGGAGATGGGTGAGGCTGGTGATGGTGGCACAGTGGGCGGCGGGCAGATGGGTGAGGCTGGTGGTGGCTCAGTGGGCGGCGGGGAGATGGGTGACGCTGGTGGTGGCACGGTGGGCGGCGGGGACCACACGTACTCGGATCACAAGCTCATTGAAGTGCAAACTAACATTAAAAACGGTAGTAGGCCCAAGAGAAACAACAAGCGAGAAGGGCTATTCAATAAACTCAACTTTAATAATAAGGGGTTAGACTGGAAGAAAATAAACAGGGAACTAACAAACATTCAATACGAAAATGTTCTAAGAAATAAAAATCCTACACAAGGAATAGAAAAACTGACTTCTGAAGCATTTGAAGTCTGTCTGAAACATGTTCCTTTGAGGAAAGCCAGAAAGAGGTCCAATGTTGAAAGAGAACGCAGACGACATTACAAAAGGAGGAAGAAATTAACGGAAATGCTTAAGCAGACACGACTCTCCATACAGAGAAGAAATAATTTAAACAGGAAGATTGAAGAAATCGAACAGAAACTGAAGCATCCCTATCAGACTGACGAAAGGCAACTAGAACATGAAGCAATTCAAGAAATATAGATAAACCCAAAATATTTCTTCACATATTCTAAATCAAAAGCGAAAACCACTGCCAGTATTGGAGCTATTCGTATTAGTGAAGGTTCATACACGGAGGATGACAAAGAAATTAGTGAAATCCTAAAAAAGCAGTATGAGGACATGTTTAGCACTCCGATACTCAGCATGAAAGTGGAAGATTTGGACAATTTCTTTATGAATGATACTCAAACACCTGTAAATATAACTGATATCAACAGGAGCGTGGCAGATTTTGAAAGAGAAATTGACAATATGCCCTTGCACTCAGCCCCGGGTCCAGACTCATGGAATTCAATATTTATAGAGAAATGCAAAGTGCCAGTAGCACAGGCACTCAGTATAGTGTAGAGGAAGAGCTTGGACACGGGGGAGATACCAGATGCACTTAAAGCAGCAGACATTGTCCCTCTACACAAGGGTGGTAGCAAAGCATTGGCAAAGAATTATAGACCAGTTGCACTAACGTCCCACATAATAAAAGTATTTGAGAGAGTGATCAGGAGTCATGTCACTAGATTCATGGAAACCAATGACCTCCACAATCCAGGCCAACATGGATTTAGAGCAGGAAGATCATGCCTCTCACAGCTACTTGACCACTATGACAAAATCACTGAGGCATTATTGGAAAAACATAATGCAGATGTCGTGTACACAGATTTTGCAAAGGCACTCGACTTCTCCCCCCCCAAGCCCCCATCTCCCCTATCTCCCAAAGCCTCTCCTCCCCCCATGCTTCCCCACCCTCCCTCTCTCACCCCCCCCCAACCCTCCCCCCTCTCACTCTCCACCCCCAACCCTCTCACTCTCCCCACCCCTACCCTCCCCCTCTTAGCCACCCCCCGCACCCTCCCCCCTCTCCCCCCCACCACCCCCCTCTTTCCCACCCCCCCAAGCCCTCCCTCCTCCACCAATCTCCCCGTGCCAGGTCCCCCCAGCTCCCACTCACCCCAGATCCCAAAGGTCCCCCCTGAGAAGAAGCAGAAGAGTCAGTTTCAGGGTGATGTACTCGAACATAGATGGGATCACAAGCAAGACAAGTGAACTAAGGGAAAGAGCACAAGAAGTTAACCCAGATGTAATCGGACTCACTGAAACAAAACTCTCTGGAATCATAACGAATGCCGTGTTTCCCCAGGAGTACACAGTAATAAGGAAAGAGAGGGAAGGTAGGGGAGGAGGCGGAGTGGCCCTACTCATGAGAAAGGAATGGAGTTTTAAGGAGATGGCCATCCCAGGCTGTGAGGAGTTCAGAGACTACATAGCAGGCACCATAACAATGGGAGGACCAAGAATAGTAATAGCAGTAATATACAACCCTCCACCAATTGACAGAAGACTCAGTCAAGAGTATGAAAACAACAATATGGCAGTTAACACTATAATTGAGAGGGCAGCCTCTGCTGCCTGTAGAAATAGATCCCACCTGCTCATCACGGGCGACTTCAATCACAGAAGGATTGACTGGGAGAACAAGGAACCGCATGGAGGCGAGGACACGTGGAGAGCCAAACTATTGGAGGTGGTGACAAGAAACTTTTTAACCCAGCATGTCGGAGAACCCACAAGGATGAGAGGCAATGACGAACCAGCGAGACTCGACCTAGTCTTCACTCTGAACGACTCCGACATAAGAAAAATCGGTTTTGAGGACCCAGTAGGAATGAGCGACCACAGTGTACTGGTGTTTGAGTACTTGATTGAAGAAGGGTTATTGAACTCGAGGAGGGATACCGAAACCAAAATGTTAGCATACCGAAAGGGAAACTATGAGGGGTTAAGAAAATTCCTAACAGATATAGCATGGGAAACAGAGCTCAGGGGAAAGACGGCCCAAGGTATGATGGATTACATCACACAGAAGTGCAAGGACGCGGCAAACAAGTTTGTCCCAGTCCAAAAGGAAAACAGAGAAATGAAAATGAGAAACCCATGGTTTAATCAGAGATGTAGGCTAGCTAAGCAGCAAAGTAAAAGGGTATGGAGAAACTATAGGAATAGCAGGACACTTGAGAGCAGAGAAAGATACCAGAAGGCCAGGAATGAATATATCAGGATGAGAAGAGAGGCAGAAAGACAATACGAAAATGACATCGCAAGCAAGGCAAAGACTCAGCCTAAATTGTTGCATAGCCACATCAGGAGAAAAACAACAGTAAAGGAACAGGTTATGAAATTAAGGATAGGGGCGGAAGGATTCACTACAAATGACAAGGAAGTGTGTGAGGAATTGAATAAGAAATTCCAGGAGGTCTTCACCTTAGAGCAAAGAGAAATTCCAGAGGTAAGTGAGGGAATAGCTAACCAGGAACCACTGGAAGAGTTTGAGAGTACCAGCGGGGAAGTAAGGAAGTGTTTATTAGAGTTGGATGTGACAAAGGCTATAGGCCCAGATGTAATCTCCCCTTGGATACTAAAGGAAGAAGCAAGAGAACTGTGCCTACCACTCTCCATAGTGTATAACAAATCACTAGCAACAGGGGAACTGCCAGATATTTGGAAAGCAGCTAACGTAGTCCCGATATACAAGAAAGGGGATAGACAGGAGGCACTGAACTACAGGCCAGTGTCCCTAACCTGCATACCATGCAAGCTGATGGAGAAGATTGTGCGAAAAAAACTAGTGGAACTTCTGGAGCGAAGGAACTTTGTAACACAGCATCAACATGGGTTCAGGGATGGCAGGTCCTGCCTCACAGGGTTACTTGAATTCTACGACCAGGCAACAAAAATAAGGCAAGAAAGAGAAGGGTGGGCAGACTGCATATTTCTGGATTGTCAGAAAGCCTTTGATACAGTGCCACACAAGAGGCTAGTGCGAAAGTTGGAGATGCAGGCTGGAGTGAAAGGGAAGGTACTCCGGTGGATAGAGGAGTACCTAAGCAACAGGAGACAACGAGTCTGTGTGAGGGGTGAGGTCTCAGATTGGCGAGACGTTACAAGTGGAGTCCCGCAGGGGTCAGTCCTTGGACCTAAAATGTTTCTGGTATATGTAAATGATCTCCCAGAGGGTATAGATTCGTTCCTCTCAATGTTTGCCGACGACGCAAAAATTATGAGGAGGATTGAAACAGAGGATGATAGTAGGAGACTACAAGATGACCTAGATAGACTGAGTGAATGGTCCAACAAATGGCTGTTGAAGTTCAACCCAAGTAAATGCAAAGTAATGAAACTAGGCAGTGGAAACAGGAGGCCAGACACAGGATACAGAATAGGAGATGAAGTGACACCAAACCTGTCTCCTGAAGCCCACATAAAGAAAATAACGTTTGCGGCATATGCGAGGCTGGCTAACATCAGAACGGCGTTCAGGAACCTGTGTAAGGAATCATTCAGAATCTTGTACACCACATATGTAAGACCAATCCTGGAGTATGCGGGCCCAGCATGGAGCCCGTACCTTGTCAAGCACAAGACGAAGCTGGAAAAAGTCCAAAGGTATGCCACTAGACTAGTCCCAGAACTAAGAGGCATGAGTTATGAGGAAAGGCTGCGGGAAATGCACCTTACGACACTGGAAGACAGAAGAGTAAGGGGGGACATGATCACAACCTACAAAATCCTCAGGGGAATCGACCGGGTAAACAAGGATGAACTATTCAACACTGGAGGGACGCGAACAAGGGGACACAGGTGGAAGCTGAATACCCAAATGAGCCACAGAGACATTAGAAAGAACTTTTTCAGTGTCAGAGTAGTTAGTAAATGGAATGCACTAGGAAGTGATGTGGTGGAGGCTGACTCCATACACAGTTTCAAATGTAGATATGATAGAGCCCAGTAGGCTCAGGAATCTGTACACCTGTTAATTGACAGTTGAAAGGCGGGACCAAAGAGCCTGAGTTTCACCCCTGCAAGCACAATTAGGTGAGCACAATTAGGTGAGTACACATGTCGTCGTCTGAACTGAACTACAGTTCAGTTTACTGAACTGGACTCACTGGCCTGAACTACAGGCCAGTGTCCTTAACTTGTATACCATGCAAAAAAAAAATGGGTGACAGGCAAGAGGCACTGAACTACAGGCCAGTGTCCTTAACTTGTATACCATGCAAGGTGATGGAGAAGATTGTGAGAAAACACCTAGTAACACATCTGGAGAGAAGGGACTTCGTCACAACCCATCAACATGGGTTCAGGGAGGGTAAATCTTGCCTTACAGGCTTAATAGAATTCTACGTTCAGGTGACAAAGATTAAGCAAGAAAAAGAAGGCTGGGCGGACTGCATTTTTTTGGACTGTCGGAAAGCTTTTGACACAGTACCCCATAAAAGGCTGATGCATAAGCTGGAGAAACAGGCAGGAGTAACTGGTAGGGCGCTCCAGTGGATAAGGGTACCTAGGTACCTAAGCAATAGGAAGCAGAGAGTTACAGTGAGGGGTGAGACCTCAGATTGGCGTGACGTCAGCAATAGAGTCCCACAGGGCTCTGTA